TAAACGTATTTGATTCGATTAAACTCACTTCCTGACAGCGAGGTTCAGTGACCTGTGACCTTTGCCGATCGGTGTCGCAAGAGGACCTTTCAGGCCAATTCTGTTGGCATGCATAAGTTCGATACATCTGCAACGATTCTCACATATAGTAATAGATAAATGCAGCACGTTATCCTCAACAAACCATTAGCTGGCACTTCGCTCAAATAATCCAGAATAAAAAAAGAACAGAATAACAGGACTGGTATAAAGTCTTGAAAATAGAAGGATCCATCTCGATGACGGAATTAGGTGAAGTTCAGAACCAAACAGGACTGTGGTGTTAGATTTATTTACCAGAAGTTGCAGCTAAAGAACAACGAAAGTGGGGAACTAGAGATGGATTTCTGTCACAACATCAAGGAATAATTCCCCAAAATTTCAGCTTTTCCTGGATACAAAACAGAAAAATGTGTAACCTTGACACCTGAATACACAAACAAGGCCTTGTCAACATGTCCCCGCACTCGCATCAGTATAAAAGGCTCATCAAAATGATATTAGCACATACAATAAAAACAGTTCTATACTTTATATCGTCTTTGAGTTTACAAATCCCAAACCAAGGGGAAAAAATTCTTACCCATGGGGAAATCAGTGAGAAAATCGATTTTGTTTCGATTAAACAAAACCAGTAACCGCATCATTAAAACACGATTTCTCGTCTCTGAGGGCATTGTTATTTGAAAAACGGACCTCGGAGGAATATGGAATAATCCGTCGCGTCCTTTGATCGGTGTCACATCGACAGCATCCCATTCTATTGGTGCTTTTGCCGCTTCAAATATTTTCTGCACTGAAGACGAAATTTCCGGTCCAATGCCATCGCCTGAGGGAAAAATGCCTTTGAGAAATAAAACAGTGAAATGTGTCAGATACTTTAGATTTGAAGAAAAAGGGTAACAAGAACTGCTTCAAAATGCCCAGCAACAGCTCAGCCCAGTAATCTCACTCCTCAACTCCTAATTCAGCGGAGCAAACACCGTTTCAGCAGCGTCCATCACGTAAGACCACAACCTCTTGAGAAGATCACTACTTGAAAAAGCGTTTTATTGTAGTTTTCATTGAAATTCCAGCAATGAATCTCACGGCAGCCTTTTTAAAGCCGCTTTCCCCTTTCTCCTCGTAGGATGCGTCAATACGTTGGAACAACGTATATATGGGAGCTACGCTTGGAATTATTAAGCACTGGGTGGACGAGGAACATTGCCTTAAAATTCCAGATTTTCAGCATCCTATGAGAAGAAGGAGGGAAGCGGCTTTAAAAAGGCTGCCGTGAGATTCATTGCAGGAATTCCAATGAAGACTACGGTGAATTGCTCAGGACAAGCTATGAATTCGAGTACCGAGGAACAGACAGCCTGCCCTCACTCTCTTTGCCGTAACTCCTCTTATTTATCCTCTCAGTGGATTCAAAAGTCGTGAAAGATGCTCAGCCAGCAAACACGCCGGAGCTGTTGAAAATCAAACAGAAACAGAGAAACATGAAGACGCTGATGAAAAGATACATATTCAGAAAGGGGTCAAAACATAACAGAGAAGCAAGAAGCAATCAGAAAACGGAAAAAAAGCCAGGAACAAACAAGCATGAGCAGTAAAACCATGGCAGACGAAATGAGTGAGCGAAAAGCAATTAAAGTGGCAAGGAAAAGCAACCTGGTATCAATGTTACGCGGCGTACTTCCGTTGAGCTGGCCGTTGCTAGCCTGGGTGCAAACGCAGGGACAGCTTTGAGGCACTGCGGCAGCACTGCCATCGCCAAAATAACGAAGCTCTGCCACCGATGCTATCCTCCAGACACTGACACAGCAGCTGAATTTGGATCTGAAGAGAGATGTGAAAGCACAGACACTTCTGAGCAACCTCGCTTATCACGGAGTTGTCAAAATCCCCTTCGTATTTCGTTCTCAGTGAGAAGCAGAAGCACGGAAAGTGACCCGAGTGGTAGCAAATGCTAACAGCAACCACACGCTGGCAAGGCTGTCGATGGCCCACTTTTCTC